CATTCCAGTGCTTCACCACCCTCCTAGTGAAAAAGTGTTTCCCAATATCCAACCTAAACCTCCCCCACTGCAACTTGAGACCATTGCTCCTTGTTCTGTCATCTGCCACCACTGAGAACAGTCTAGATCCATCCTCCTTGGAACCCCCTTTCAGGTAGTTGAAAGCAGCTATCAAATCCCCCCTCACTCTTTTCTTCTGCAATCCCAGTTCCCTCAGCTTCTCCTTGTAAATCATGTGCCCCAGCCCCCTAATCATTTTTGTTGCCCTCTGCTGGACTCTTTCCAATTTTTCCACATCCTTCTTGTAGTGTTGGGCTCAAAACTGGACACAATACTCCAGATGAGGCCTCACCAATGCCGAATAAAGGGGAATGATCACATCCCTCGATCTGCTGGCAATGCCCCTACTTATACAGCCCAAAATGCCGTTAGCCTTCTTGGCAGCAAGGGCACACTGCTGACTCATATCCAGCTTCTCGTCCACTGTGACCCCTAGGTTCTTTTCTGCAGAACTGCTGCCTAGCCATTCGGTCCCTAGTCTGTAGCAGTGCATGGGATTCTTCCGTCCTAAGTGCAGGACTCTGCACTTGTGCTTGTTGAACCTCATCAGGTATCTTTTGGCCCAATCCTCTAATTTGTCTAGATCCCTCTGTATCCTAACCATACCCTCCAGCATATCTACCACTCCTCCCAGTTTAGTGTCATCTGCAAGCTTGCTGAGGGTGCAATCCACAGCTCATCAATTATTGGGAGTGGATCACATTCACCCTGATTGAATTGGCCCTGTCAACACCGGTTCTCCACTTATAAGGTAACTCCCTTTTCTTCATGTGTCAGTATAATAATGCCTGCGTCTGTAATTTTGACTCCATGCATCCTCACTTCCCCTCCAGTCTGGGTTCACTAGCCTGAGCTCCCTTGCTGATCTGTGCCCTCCTTATAATCCATCTCCTCTCTCCAGGTGACATTTGCCGACTCCCGCCTGAGAAGGGCCCTTGCAAGGGACAGATCCCGCGCTTCTTCTACAACCCGGCCTCTAGGACGTGCAAAAGCTTCATCTACGGCGGCTGCCGGGGCAACGGGAACAACTTTAGAACTCTCCTGGAGTGCCAGCAGGCCTGCAGGAAACGCGGTAAGGGGACCGAGCGCGTGAACCCGCTCGCATGGGCTGGGCAGCCCAGCAAGCTGGGACAGCCTGAGAATTAACTTACTCCCAGCCCCAAAGGGCCAGTCACTTACCTAGGTGAATCGCACCTCCCATCTCACACCACAGACAAGGCTTCTAGCCAATCCTATAATAAACTATCTAAAGGTTTATCAACTAAGAAAAGGAAACCAGAGAGTTCTTTACAAGGTTAAAGCAAGTAAACATAGAAGCACAAACGAGTTACTATCTCAACTTTCACAAGGAAATAGAAGCTTCTGTCATGAGCAAGCGCTACATGCCCTTCAGGACTCACCCCGGCTGAGCAGCTGTGGATCTCTTGCTTATGCCTAGAAACCTGCCCACCCCAGAGTCCGAGCAGCCTAGTGAGCATCAGTTCCTTCGTTTGGGGTTTTATCCCCATCTGTCCTTGTGATCTCAGCTGCAAACTCGGTGATGGGAGGAATCCACTAGCACGACTCATCTTCACAGGGGTGGGGAGGGCAAAACAACAAACATCTTTTGCCCTCTTTAATGTCCCACAATAGTCCGTCTGGTGTCAATGGCCCTTTCCCATTGGACAGGACATAACACCTTCTGCAGGAGATCAGCCATTCACACTAATTCGTCTCTTTCTCCCCTCTGGCGAGTTACACACTCACAGCGACTCACCATACAACCGCTCACGTATTACCTTACACTATGGGATAGAGACGCTGTAAGTGAGATGAATGCAGGCAGCAACACACCAGCATTCAATAAAGAATAAACACTGAACAGATTCCTATCATTCCGATCCCTGTTTTAACAATACTAACGCCCAGGTGAGCCAGACTGATTCCACGGTGTGTCTGTCACTGTTCCACTGAGACAGGGGAACTCTGGATTGCCAGTGTCACACCGACCTGGCTTTGTTAGGGTGGGGGGGTATAAAGCTCTGACCTGAGCAGGTAGTTGCCACATTGCTCAGTTGCTCTCCTGTTGCTACATTTCACGCTGGAACAGGAACTGACCGGCCCCTTCCTGAGGCCGTTGGGCGTTCAGCTGCTGAAGCAACTGCTCCCCTTCTCCTGTTGTTAAACGGAATAAACGGCTACCCAGGGAGGTGCCTCTTTGCTGGGTTGAGAGCGTAGCTGTGAGGAGCCCTTGGCCCTCTGCTCACGTTGGAAACGCTGTTACTGTTATGGCCCCCAAAGGTGCTGGGCGCGGCACAGACAGGATCTCCCATCAGCCCAGCATGTGAGACACGAACTCTGTGTAGGATTCACAGATAACTACAGAGATGTTCGCTCCTGTGGGCCGTCCTGTCCATCGGCCCCTCCTTTTGCATCCCTTAGTGCCATGGTAAGGGGAGCCAAGGCTGCTGGGGGGAGTCCCGGGCCCTCCATCTGCCCTGGTCACTGTACCTCAGGGGGCAGGAAAAGCGGCGGGAGCTGCTCTCAGGTACCTCGGCCCCCGCCCAGGGCAGGTGGAGGGTCTGGGTCTCCCCACAGCGGCCCGGGCTCCCTGGGCAGCTCTTCCCACGGCTTGGCTCCGGCTTCTGGCCTGGCCAGGGTGCGGGGCCGGGGGAAGAGGCGGTGCAGGGGACGTGGCCACAGAGGTCTGGGGTTCCTGCCTGTCTCGTTTTGGCATTTTGAAAAGGTCACTCTAGTCACAGACCTGCTCCGAGTGACCCGGCTCCCCCCAGGCCTGGAGTCTGGGCGGAAGTTCGGAGTGCACATTGCCCTCTCCCCCACGGAGCTCCCAGCTCTCTGGGGAGGAGGCGAAGGGCTGCGGGAGGCTGGCGTGGAGATGGGGAGAGGACTGCTCTGGGATGATATCGGTGCTGCTGGCCTGGCCGGCTGGGTCTCCTGCCTCCTCCCCGGGGCTGCTCTGTGCCATGGAGTTTGTCCAGTGGCGACTCCCGAGGTCACCCAGCCCCGTGCACTGAGCCCTGCTGCAAGGCCGGCGACTGCCCAGGAGGGGCCGGGTGCAGCCGCATCAGCTGTGCCCCCGACCCCCCTCAAGGCCGTGCAAGGCAGAACCGCTCTGCCTGCACCTGACCCCGAGGGGCCCCCTGCGTGCCGGGATCTCTGTGCCCAGCCCCCGTGCATGAGGCAGTCCAGGATTGCTCCTGTCACCTCCCTCCCTGCCCCCCAGCCTCAGGACCAGCCCCTGGCCTGACCGACTGCCCCTTTTTCCACAGGGCCGATGAGAGCGAGACCGGGAAGAGCCAGAGCGTGACAGCAGGGCCTGTGGGGGGATGGGACAGGATCCTCCAATACGGTCCCCACCTGACACCCCCCCCCAATCGCCCGTGGGCCTGATCTCGCCCAGCACGTGGGTTGTGTAATAAAGAGCTCAGCTCAGCTGGTCTCCCTGTGATTTCCTGGATTGGGCCTCACTGTCCCTGCATGTCCGCCCGGGACAACCCCCCTGCAGCTGGAGCCTGTGCCCCAGGCTAATGTCCCTGGAGAAACGGGGTCTCCTGGGGGTGGCAGGCACTGGGCAGCGTCACTAGAGCATGAGCTGCCGCATAGTCCCTGGGCTCCAGAAACGGGGCTGGCTCCGGGCACCAGGGTAACAAGCAGGTGCCTGGGGTGACCAATGAAGAGGAGGGCGGCACGTCCGGCCATTTGGCAGCAATGAGAGCTGAACTCACTGGTGGTGGGATGGTGTTTCTGCTCAGCCTGCTAAAAGCTGAAACTCACTAAGAGACTGACCTGCAGAGGTCACAGCAGAGAGGTGGCAACAGTAGATAACGGACAGTCAGCTGGCGGGAACAGCGAACAGTCAGCCTGCAGAAGCAGCAAACAGGCGGCCGGCGGGAGTGGAATGAGCGGCTGGCACGGCAGCCAGAAGAGAGGGACCATGGCTGGCGGGGCGGGCTGGCAGAGCAAGCCAGGTGCCATCTTCCCTGGGTGGGAGGGGAACTCACACAGCTGCGCCTCTGGACCCGGGGTCCCCGCTGACCAAGGACACCCCCTGGGAGTGGGGTGCGGTGAGGGAGCCGAGAGGGGTACAGAAAAGGAACTGGAGTACTTGTGGCACCTTAGAGACTAACAAATTTATTAGAGCATAAGCTTTCGTGGAC